ACTCTACGAAAACGTGTCCCTGCTGGATCAGAGCCTCGCAACTCAAAATGCGCTACAACTACAGGTTGTTTTCGCTTTCAGGTCCAGCGATGTAAATTAAGCTAAAGGCTAAAGTCCAGATAGAGAGTGCAAGTTTTTGGCGAGTTTGAAGCTCGGGAGAACGAAAACTCAGCTAGTCTACGTTGGTGCCTGACGATGCTTATTCGCGCAAGCGAGTGGCAGCAAAGTCCGGTTAGTAATGCTGTGAAGTTTGGGGACCGCACACCCGAGATAGTCTGAAGCCACGTAGGATTAATATACTTAGTTTGATTTACCTGGACTTGAAAAGTATGGAGAATAATAGCCTTTTGTGGGTATTGGGCCATTATTGTACCTACTTTTGAGGGTTTAGGTAGTTTGAATTAGGTCTTCGGCGCCCGGCGGATTGAGCCATGTGAAGCGACGCCTTGGAAGCGTGGGGTCTGGGCTTGGGCTACGGCTAACACTATCGCAACATTCGATGAGCACTATGAACAAGTTTACACAAAACCCAAAAGTAACAAACCCCTCCACATCTATGTGTGATTACATGTATATGTCTATTTCTCGGCGCGTGTGTGTGTGTCTTGTCAGCAGCATATACATATGTATGTATGCATGTATATGTATGTATATGTATATGTATATGTATATGTATATGTATATGTATATGTATATGTATATGTATATATGTACATATGTATGTCACCCCGCCCCGCTGTCTACCTGTATATCCTGTGTATTCTACATTCCACCGTTTCCGGTAGGACTCCCCCTGGCTGATATTGTCTTCCACCGAAAACCCCAAAACCTAAACCCTAAACCCCTAAACCCTAAAACCCTAAACCCCTAAATCCCTAAACCCTAAGCCCTAAATCCTAAACCCCTAAACCCTGAACTCAAGCCGGTCCACCGAGGATTGAAGATTGAAGGTCACACTATGTAAATACCATGCGATCCCTGAAAACGAAATCATCTCCAATGCCCTCCCTAAACTTCCCCTAAATCCGCGGAGTTTTTGTAATCCCTGTACACCCTAAAGCCTAAACCCTTTCAACCCTAAACCGCCAACCCTTCCCTTCGCTGGCAGGCTCAGGGGCCTCCTTCCTGCTGGTGGAAGACACCTGGCTGCACCCTACGTCACTGCGAGTTCCCCAACGAATAGAATCCACGCCCTCCATCCCCCTCCAAAGCTCTGCAAAGAACACAAAGCCTCACTAAACCTGCAACCCCTCCAGAAACCCCAAGCAACCTCTGGTATAGGGCTTTGAGGCTTGTATGTACCAAAACCCTTACACACTGCAAGCCTATCTGACCTAAACCTTAAATAAGGGGAATCCTTGCACCCTACTTCAGCCCAGGAGTCTTGGGTTTCGATGTTGAAGGGCTCAGGGTTGTCAGGGTTCGAGGGTTTAGGGTTGTAAGGTTTGGGGTTTAGGGGTTGGGGTTTAGGGGTTTAGGGGTTTAAGTTTTGGGGGTTTAGGGTTTAAGGTTTTTAGGGTTTAGGGGTTTGAGGGTTTGGGGTTTAGGATTCTCTGGTTCAGGCTTCCAAGCCAGGGATTTCTGGACGCAATACACGGACCCAATAGTAGCTCCAGATTCCCTCGGAACGCATATCTGCTACTGGTCCCTGCGGTAAGAAGATGTCGTACAATCACAGACGTACTCGGCACCATGCACTCGGGGCTTTGAAGGGCAAGGGCGTTTTGAGCTTTCGACCGTAGCAGCTAAGCCGAACCCAGACGCCTATTTGGAAAACTATGTCCAAAACCCTAAATGTTACCAGATCATATGAAAACAGTCTTAACATAACTGCAATGCGCATGGTTTGATGAAGAGGCATAAGCAGATTGCCGGACTGAGCCAGCTTCCCTGCCACGGCAGGCGCCGCGTTCTGCACTCGGGGCTAGAAATGAAGGCAGGCTCTGTGGACGCAAATCTCCAAGCCTATGTAGCACCAGGTCCCTTTAAAGGGTGTCTGAAGGGGTGCTATCAAAAGGGTTCTTATGAGTATTATTTACAACAGCAAGCTCATATGTATCTAAATCCCTTGTAAAGCCCGTATAGAACCCGGTCAACCGCGCCTCTGGGCCGAGGGAGGCGGGCGGCTGCTCGGCTGGAGCCTGACTCGGACGAGCAGGATAGCGTGAACACTGCAGGGCTTGGGGAGCTTGGGTTCAGGGGTTTAGGGCTTACCTATAGTCTCCATTGTAGGTCCTTTTTGGGTTTAACCAATTCTATATTAGGGATCCTAAAAAGGTAACCCCAAAAAGGAACTACAATGGAGACTATAGGTAGGCCTTATCGGGCTCTTCGGCTTATGTGCGAATCGTCTTGGGACTTTTGAAGCAAACACGAGAAGGCTGCAGCACGACACAACAGGCAGCAAACACAGGCGCGGGAAGCAAGAAGCAAAAATGGGGGATCTCCATCCAGGACTCTTCATCATCGAGTACGATTTGAGGCCGCTTGTCTGCTAAGCACCTAAGTTTAAGGGTTCCCGGGCTTACGAAGCTCCAGACAGGGGCCCAACCATAAATCTGTACCATCCATCCAACATTCATGACACCCAACACTCGCCCTCGAACCTCTCTGTAGCCACAGCGAAGTTCAACCTCAATCCTGGAAGCTGCCGAGACAGATACCCATCGAAACCGTCGCAGGCCAAACCCTACGGGTCCAAGTAGTCCTTGTAGTTTGTCCTTGTTTATGGTTTTGGCACGTATTTTTGCATTTAGGTACCCAATTATGGTTTTTGGCACAGAATCAGGCCTAGCAGTCCTACAATGGGGAATATTTGGACCCTTACGAAAAGCCTACACTGAACCAACCGGAAGCCCGGTCATCTCCCAGTAGAACATGTCGGTAATATGGGGGGCCCCGAATAGTCCGAATGAGGCTCAGTGTAGTATAATGAGGAACCGTATGGGTCGGGCTTTGACACATGACCGTATGGTTCAGGGCCAGGGTGTCCAGACTATCACCGTTGCTGTCGAAATCTGTTGCTAAAGCTGCTGCGTTGTGTGGCTACCCCCAGTGCCCACAGTACACGCGCGGGATCTTGAAGTCTTTCCCTCTTATACTCTTCCGATCGTTCGGGTCCCAAACCATAATTAAACCACAAATCCTCGGCCTTCGCTGCTCCCTCTCAGCCTCAGCCGCCCGCGCCGCTGTGTGCGCAGCCGCTTCCTTTACGTCTTCATGAGTCCGTAAGATGGTTGTAGTCTTGTTGGGACATCAGAAATCTCCAGGAAAACCCGGAAGATTAGTTTGAAGTGCCAGTACAGTCTTTGAAGCTTTGCCTGAAGGATCTTCGGGTTCAAATGTTCGTTGCAGCCAAGGACTTGGGTTGCTCCCGGCCTCAGAAACCTGCGAGGGCGCTTCCATGGCAGCGGAGCCGGAGCCGACGCAAAATCTTCCCAACGCCCGAGGTACAGTAGGGTTGTGGGATTGAGGGTTCATGGTTTGGGCTTTGGGCTTGGGGTATAGAGTACTGATAGGGGTTTCGGGTTTCTGCCACTGGGAACCTGGCTTCCCAAAGGAACCAGGGTGTCGTAGCCCCAAACCTTGGCACCCAAGGCCTCACACCGTGGGCAATGCCGTGCCCGATAGCATGTGCTCTGCTGCTCTGTCTCCACGCATGCAGCTTCACTTGTCCTACCTTGAACCCATGCATCTTCAGAAGGTGCACAGTAAGCTGGGCCTAGGTTGTACCCGAACTGGACATCCGGCCCAGGACACTCTAACCTCTGCACGCTAAAGATTTACCAATTCAGGATTAGGACGGGGTTCAGTAAAACGCACGCAAGAATAGTAGGGAGCCGACCGAGTCCGGGGTTGAGGTTTAGGGTTCAGGTGGCTGTATTCAAGTTGCAATATTGCGGGCTCCGCAGCGATGATGTGGAGGTCCGTCTGTCAGGAGAAAAAGTTAGAGTTAAATCCACCTCCTTTGATAAGGACTTTAGAAGGAACGCTAATTCAGCGAAATACCGTCATGGCGCCTTTACCAGCCCTGCCCTCGACCATAACCCTGTGGGGCTTCCGAGTTCGAGACTTCCAGGGTTCTGGGATTCGTCGGTTTTAGTGTCTTGGAGTGTAGAGCGTTAAGCTCTCGGGTCCAGGGACCTTGAGGGCTTCAGGTCGAGGCAAAGCACCTTAAACACTAAGTACCGAAACCCATCCAAGCCCTGAAACCATGCCTGGACCTTTACACCTGCATCGACCCCAAACCTGTCTAAAGATGCGGCCCAGCTCCTTTTTCGAGTTGCCCTACGGTGGTGCCCAGGCTTTTAGGACGGATGGCTTCCCAAATGCCACATGGCAAGTCTGCTCCCTGGGGGAAGGTCGCATGGGGTTTCGGCAGTCTCTGGTTAAGGAGTTTCCAGGGCTCAACACCTCAACACCTAAAGCAAAAAACAACAGGTATAACAGGTATTGCCCTAAGCCCAAGTCTTTTCTCCCGGATAAGGAGACCTCTGCAAACTGCCTTTCTCAGCGAGGCGCCAGAGAGCTCTTCCCGAGCATGCTTTGTGCGTCAGGCTCGCATCCAGGGGCCCAAGCTTGTCTTGCCAGAAAGGCTTGGAATGCTCATAGCAGGACTCGCAAGTTAGGTAGTACGATTGTTACGATTACAAGTAGTACTTTTGGCATCATTTGGCGGGTTTCGACTAAGGAGGTCAGGGGTTCGATGTTTGCGACCTCCAAGCCTAAGCTGAGCCGAGGTAAAACCAAAAAGCGCATGGCTTTGCACGAGAAGCTATGGGATTCCAGTAAAGAGCAACTTTGGCTCTCGAGGGACTTTCATCGCTTGTCCGCGTGCATGCCACAGGTAGAGACTTGAGAGGCAGCCACATCATCTCGCAGTGCCGTTCTTGCCCGCCTGTCACAATCCTACAGTTACAGCTCCCGAACACTCTCATCCTGACGGCTTGTCTCTGCGTGCTGATAGTGATCTCACTTGTGGCCCAAGCATCTGCGCAGAATCAATAAGGCTTTGCATACACTCGGCGCTGTTGAAGCCGACAGGTCCAGGCTCTCAGAATCTCGTCCGCGACATGCTCTGGCTTGCTCATATCCTTATCCACGATGCGCATCACATCCCTTCTGAAAATTACATGGTTCTGACATCGACCTTCTACATCTGGCGGGCGAGGAGGGAAAATATCGCAGAGCTGGATAGGGATGATCTCGAGATCGTTGTCGTGCGCATAGCGAAGTTCCACATATGTTTCATAGCGAGCTCCTTCTTGCATGAGGCTTGGAGCCTTAAGAATATTTGCCGAGCGCCAGAGCAACCTTTAGAATCTTTAGAAAGTTAGAAAAGGCGTAATAGGGGCCCCTTATGCGGCGAACGGCAGCACTCCTGTGCGCTGCCCATAGCTCTGCCCGCAGAAAGCAAGCAACGCCTTGGCCGTGTAGAGGCCTTGCAGAGTCTGGGTCCCAAAGGCATCCCCGGCCCCCTGGGTGTCAACCATGAAGACGGGGACTCCCACGTTGACGAGGATGTCCCTGACTGTCTTCATGTACGCCACCATCTGTTCGTCGTTGAAACGCCCGGAGACCATCAGGTGGGTCCTCTCATCCTGGCAAGAGCGGCCGCCAAGTCCGTGTATGCTGCGACAGTTGGACGGTGTTACTTAATTTGGCATCCAGTTTAGGATCAAAAACAACTGAGATCTACACCCTAAACACCCTAACCATCTTCAGCACTGTCACCCCTGGGGCATAAAGCAATTTTCGTGACTCTACGCTTGCAGTAGTGTGGTCGTTCTGACCAGGGTCTCAGTAAAGCAGAACAACCGTACTACGACACCGCCAGGTGAGCTTCCATGCAAAAAAACTGCCCATTAGGGTGACCTTCTGCGCTCGATTAGTCGGCCTCTGGGAAGTCTACAGCAGGAGCTGCCGGAAGAGCCGGTGGCTGAGGCTGTCGTGGCGCTTGCTCATGTTCAGGCGGAGGCGGCAGAGGCGCCAGAATTGGCGGAGGTGGGGCGACGAAGGAGTCGTCGTCTTCAAGTTCCGGTTCAGGCGGAGGCGGAGGAGGTGGCAAATACGGAAGCACCTGACCGGGTACTCACACGCAACGAGAGATGATCTCGCAAGATCCGATCGGTGACAGTTGAGAAAGACTATTGAATCGTAACTTTGTCCGGAATAGCGAATGCCACTCGCACTCCGACCTCGGTGGAACTGATTCTCATGCTGCTCAACCCTTGCATTCCGTGTGTCCCTGCGCGGTTGCCTGGACAAGCAATGGGGTGTCCTCCTCTGCAGCGGCCATTCTAGCAGCCTGGGCTTGGTGAATTCGGCTTCCAAAAAAAAAGAAACTCTTTTTCCAGAATGCCCAGGAATCCATGTCAGGACAAACTGAGCATCCCCTGGCTCCACCGAACCTTCTCTTCACGCAACGAAAGATATACATAGGTGATCCCGAGACTGCGACTGGCCTAGTGGCCACCTGTTGAAGTCGCGCATATGAAACTGCATCAAGATCATCACAGTCTTGCTGCTCGACTGGACCTTCACAACCGAAGCCATGCCATGGGGCTTTCGGGGCTGAAAGAAGGAAATGACCAAGGCATGCTCCAGGCGCCCTTTAGTCCGGTTTATCATGCTTAGCAAGACTTCGCATATACGTTTGCAGCCCTCCACCTCCAGCGATAAAGGTGTGTGGCTCCTCGGGGCTGTAAACCTGCCACATGCATCATACAACGCATCAAGGTTCCCAGCATGACCTAGAAGAGCCAACCCCGTCTCTTGAGTCGATGTGATTTGGGCCGTCGCTCCAGCAGGGTCGGCGGCCTCGACGTAAAGGCCCTCTGGAGGCACTGCTAGGAACCTGAGCCACATGGAGCAGACCAAGGCTGCGAGCCGGTTGGGCTCCGGACTGAGGTCGTGCAGATCGCACTTTCGCTGAAGAACGATCTGCAAGTTACGTGATATAGACTAGAGCCTTGCAAAAGAAAACGAGCTCTGCTTTCGAACAGCATACCGCGATTGGATAAAACGTGCTGAGGGACCACTTGACATGTTTGACATCCTGTGCTGGTGGCCATGGTGGAGGCGGAGGCGACACAGTGGTCCGGTCGTGCACGACACCCGCAACCATCTCACAGAAGTGCTTCAGGCAGAATGCGGCAACGTCGCAATCGAAGTGGTGCGGTAAGGAAATCTCGTCATCGACCACTGGAAGTGTATGGATGCTGCTTCGACTGTCCGAAGAAAATATACGCGAGCCCTTATAAGGCAACATCTCGGCACTGAGGGCGTCGTTGTCCCTGAGAGACGGGATGACCGAGACCTTTTCTTCCATGTTGAACACTGTGACAGCCTCAAGGTGCTCCCATCCACCACCGGGCGTCGAGCGCCACGCTGTGGCCGCCCGGTCAGTCCCAGTCGCGGCAATGACCGGTAGCAAGAGCAGTATCGGCTCCTGGAAGCATGTTTCGTGAGGCAGCAGCCTCAAGCCGGGACTGAGTGGTGTCACATCAAACGGCAGAATGGGGAAATCCATTGTGTCCACGACTTCGAACTTGGCTTGTGAGAGCCTTTTCGATGCCATTAAGATTCCGCTCTGGATCTGGATGCTGTCGCTGTGACCGAGGGACACAACCATGTTTCCTTTGCCATTTTTCCAGGCTTCGGAGCTTCGCCGTGTCTTGGGCAGGCGGCCTGGAGGTGATTGACATGCGGGAGACTGGAGACCAGGCACCCTCAACCTGAAGAGCACTCTGAATGCAGATACTATCACAAGAAAACGGAGCTCGACATCCGTCTCAGCGTTCAGGAAGCCCGAAAGGACGCATGTGCCCGCGAAGATCCTAGGTTTTCGACCCCTAGACCTCCCAAAGGGTTGGCTTCGATCGTCTGTCCACTGACAATGCCCCACACTCTTCCAAGGCGGCCTACCCTATCCACTGTCTCAACAGGCCCCGCCTAGCTGATCATACAGTGAATACAGTGATAGGTTTTCCAGCAATTCAGAAGCCACGGCTGTTACGGTATGCTTCGTGCCGTATTCGCGCTCCAGGAGGTCGAAAGCTCGCTCCAAGAGACTTATCTGTCCACTAGCCTCCCAGGCTGTCTGACTCCAGAATCTCGTGGCCAACACTTTGAGGCCGAGTGCAACCTCGGTCCATCCTCCACGCTGCTCCAGGATTTGGACGAAACGCTCAAGCGCATTCTGCGTGACCTCGTCCCCGAGCAGCTGGTGGCAGACTCCGAATTTGAGCAAGAAGCCGGTAAGTTCGAGGCACCTGCGGGGCACGTCCGCCGAGTCTGTCGGATCGAGAGAAGCCAGACCGTGTTGCAGTACCAAGCACTTCTGCAGCAGCAGGGCCATCTTCCCGGAAAGCGATAGTGCAAGGTCCATGCGTTCAGAACCACTTGAATGACGGGCTATCGCCATTAAATGATCCGAAAACTCCGTCATCTTTACGAAATCTTGCAGCTCTGCAAGGACCAAGACAAGCTTGAGTTGGGTAAGCATGACTCGCCAATCTTGTTCTCCGTACTGCTCCTGCCGCAGCTTCAGGAGTCGCTCCAGCCTGTGCCTCTTCTCCATGGGGTTCTCTGCCTCGGGGAGCCGCCGGAGAGCACAATCGGGACGAGAAGTTTAAAGTAAGCACCAAGTAAGACAAGGGCCCTAAAGTCACACGACCCACAGCATCCCACATCGCTCATGCATGCGCACGTGTGCTGGGGCATGCCTAAGGTTTGCACCCACGGCAACGAGACCAGGAAAACTTCACCAGCGTCTTCCAAGCCTGCGCTCCAAGACTCTGTCAATTCCATTCTCGCTTACAATCTACAGCTTTCCGAAGATTTCCGAAGAACGTCCTGATAGTTTCCTATTGGTCTAGCCTTTCATGTGGTTCTTTGTTTCGCTTGTTGACACTGGTGTTTTCCGATTGTCCTATCTTCCGCTATAGCATTACAAGTTGAGATAGACATAGGTCTTGCATTCGACGAGGCTTTCTCACTTCCGCAACCAAGGCACATGCACGAGCACCAGCGTAAGTGTAAGCAAACCCAACCTGGCCTTCGAAGCGCCGATTCCTTTCATCGTAAAGACTTTTCTCCTCATCCAGTACCTGTCTGGCTACACTGACAGAGGCTTTGGAGCTCATTGTTGCTCGTGGGTCAGAACATGGGCTTCTTACAAGCCTGCTTGGAGGCTGCAATGGAGTCGATGAACCGTCGGTGTTTCTTCTGAATTCCACCCTGGTTCCTAAGCCACGGCTACGCCCTGAGCCTGCCTTGGACTCGAGAAGGAGACGTCCGTCCTCCAGCCCTCGGCAGCTTAGCTCCCCGAAAACTTGGCTGGCAAACTACGGCTCCCCGTAAAGGCAAGAGTAGACCTACGAAAATGCCATGAATCTAACAGGGTCTTCTGCTTTGGACGCAATCCGTCCGTAGGGCCGCAGCCAGACGTGTACAAGGCTTCATCCAGCAGCTTGATGATCGGATGTTTGTCCCTCTCTTGCAGTACCACCTGCAGCTTCACAAATCTTCACAACACATGGACACCAAGGGACTAAACCGGACTTGAAGGGAAACTCTTGAAGTCTTCACAGTTTCTGCCAGCTGTCAAAGGCTCCAGACAAGAGGCTCTGTCAGCGAAGCGGGCCTTCACAATCTCCTCGCCGCTTCCGCTGTGTCGTACTGTCAGTGTCACGGAAGCCTTCACGGTGCAGAAGCTGAGAGTCTGAGGTGGCAGCGGAATGTCATGTTACCTCTGAAAAGCAACAACGCCAGTTGAATTTGTAAAGGCGTCACGGCACAGAGTCAATCATGATTGATGACATGATGGTGGGCTGATGGGTAGCTTCTCGGGCTTCTTCGAAACCGGCAGCATGACCCACTCTCTTCAAACCGAACTGTCGATGGTTCCGGATCCATGAAGTCATGTAGTCTGCGTAAGTGCGCAAGATTACTGAAGACACTACGAATGGGATGCGATACTTGCAGTTGACCAGAAAGTTCGGGTCCGGCCCTCTGAGGCGGCGTGGGCGAACCTCAGCACCAGCAGCACAGAGAGATGCGCTGCAGCTTCGAGGTAGCAGCAACCCGACTCGGCACATACAATGCCCCGGTCGCTCCGCACAGTCAACCAACCAGGACCTCCAATTTCACATCAGTTGGTCAAAACCATCCCGAACCGCTCTGTTGCTTCTTTGGGCCGCGGCGGCGGACATCGACCAGATGTCGCCCCACACCCTTGGAGTGAGGTTCTGTGGGCGTGACAGAATCATGGAGACTTTTGGCATGCATTGACGGATGGCAGATACTCGGAGAGATTGGCCTTCCCTGTCAGATGCATGTCTGCAGAAGCAGCTGATGCCAAAATCAGCCATTGCCCGACAACTGACTCTTTGCACACAGCTGCCAATAAACTCGGGCACAGGCCAAGTCAGAACTAGTAGCCCTTGAACTACCACGCCCCTGCCGGAAGATGTTGCGCAAAATTTGGTCAACCACAGACTTCGGGACAGGTGTAAAGCAGAGCTTCCCACGAAATCGGCTAGGCTTTACCAACGGTTTAACATTTGGGGTTGACCTTCGACTTCAACAAGGTGGGAACAGGAGCTGGGGTGTACAATTTTGGCGTTGATGGTTGGTTGGGTTTACAACGTATGGTTAGAGATCTTATCCTGTGCAGACATACATGATGCATATACTGGGGTTGTTCTGACGCTGCAATGTGGGTACTGTGTATCTACATTTTACCCTGAAATGTGCATTTTCTGTCTGCTTGCAGCCTTGCAGACATACTGTTGGACACTTCGGGTCCAGTGCAGACCTTTCGGCTTCTGGGATCTGGGGGCCGCAGGGTGAACAGCCAAGCTTTTCCATGCTGTGGTTCGTTGCGCGGCTCCCTCTCCCATAACCTCGGGCCCAAGGAGCTGCCTGAGCAGTGCCTGAATATCCAGTACTTGCTCGGGGGAGTCACAGATCTTCGCTGAAGAAAAGTATTCACTCCCGAAAACTTACCTATGGACCGCATTGTTTCTCAGGCTCAATATATATATATATATATATATATACATATGTATGTATGTACGTACGTAGGTATGTATGTATGTATGTATGTATGTATGTATATGTGTGCGTAAGTGCAAACATGTGTATATATATATATATACATATATATATATATATATGTATACACATAACTATATAAATATATAGTTATAGGTAACCATACCAGGTATAGGTATAGGTATACGTATAGGTTTTACCCAAGCTCGCAATCAAAACAATGATCATCATCAAAGATCATCAATACAGTCCGCGATGTCGTCGTTGAGAGCAAAGACGGAATCTCCACGGAACACCCCAAAACGCAAAGCAAGCGGCTATGCGGCCTCTGGCCGGATTCCGCCTTCGGCAAGCGGGCGCACCACCTCGCGGTGGCCAAAAGTGGATGAAAGGGGCTTTGGGGGGGGCGATACATGTATACTATGCAGGGAGAGCACGATGCAGTCACATCAACACTTTTGAGACATGCATGGCGTGGCCTGTCAGCACATTCAAACCTAGAAATCAAACAGTCAACACTTAAAGCATTAAGAAGAGACGGATTTGCATACATTGACCGTCGCCGGCCAGGCGGCTTGCGAACAGCATCTCAGCATCAAGCCCGTCTCTCCGTCTCTCCACGACACACATCTTCCTGCACCTCCTTCCGCCAAGCTTATCCTCACAGTCGAAAAGATGATCATCGTCAAATATCATCAGTACATATCATCAGTACACACAGTCAGAATAGCCTCGATGTCGTTGACAGCTAAGCCGGAATCTCCAGCGAAACCCCCAAAACCCAAAGCAAGCGGCTGCGCGGCCTCTGGCCGGATTCCGCCTTCGTCTGACTCATCTGACACCGCCTCGCGGCCCGAAAGTGGATGGGGCTTTGGGGAGAGCACGATGCAGTCATATCAGCACTTTTGAGACATGCGTGGCGTGGCCTGTCAGCACTTCAAAACTCGAAATCAAACAGTCAACACTTAAAGCACTAAGAAGACACGGATTTGCATACATTGACCGTCGCCGGCCAGGCGGCTTGCGAACAGCATCTCAGCATCAAGCCCGTCTCTCCACGACACACATCTTCCTGCTCCTCCCTGTGCACGATCATCCCCAAGCTTATCCTCACAGTCGAAAAGATGATCATCGTCAAATATCATCAGTACATATCATCAGTACACACAGTCAGAATAGCCTCGATGTCGTTGACAGCTAAGCCGGAATCTCCAGCGAAACCCCCAAAACCCAAAGCAAGCGGCTGCGCGGCCTCTGGCCGGATTCCGCCTTCGTCTGACTCATCTGACACCGCCTCGCGGCCCGAAAGTGGATGGGGCTTTGGGGAGAGCACGATGCAGTCATATCAGCACTTTTGAGACATGCGTGGCGTGGCCTGTCAGCACTTCAAAACTCGAAATCAAACAGTCAACACTTAAAGCACTAAGAAGACACGGATTTGCATACATTGACCGTCGCCGGCCAGGCGGCTTGCGAACAGCATCTCAGCATCAAGCCCGTCTCTCCACGACACACATCTTCCTGCCCTGCTCCTCCCTGCGCACGATCATCCCCAAGCTTATCCTCACACTCGAAAAGATGATCATCGTCAAATATCATCAGTACATATCATCAGTACACACAGTCAGAATAGCCTCGATGTCGTTGACAGCTAAGCCGGAATCTCCAGCGAAACCCCCAAAACCCAAAGCAAGCGGCTGCGCGGCCTCTGGCCGGATTCCGCCTTCGTCTGACTCATCTGACACCGCCTCGCGGCCCGAAAGTGGATGGGGCTTTGGGGAGAGCACGATGCAGTCATATCCGCACTTTTGAGACATGTGTGGCGTGGCCTGTCAGCACTTCAAAACTCGAAATCAAACAGTCAACACTTAAAGCACTAAGAAGACACGGATTTGCATACATTGACCGTCGCCGGCCAGGCGGCTTGCGAACAGCATCTCAGCATCAAGCCCGTCTCTCCACGACACACATCTTCCTGCTCCTCCCTGCGCACGATCATCCCCAAGCTTATCCTCACAGTCGAAAAGATGATCATCGTCAAATATCTTCAATATATCAGAATAGGCTCGATGTCCGTGCCTGTGGCAGGATTCTGCCTTCGGCAGACACTGGCTCTTCTGGCGCCACCTCACAGCCGAAAAGTGGATGGGGGCTTTGGGCTCCCAGCTAGGGGCGATACATGTTTTGTAATGCCTTTCTAGTAGGCTCTCCACACAGCCCGATGCAGGGAGAGCACGATGCAGTCACGCTACACTTTTGACACATGTGTGCTTTGGACAGCCATGTGCCTTTCGAAGAGGTCGGAAGGAACAAGTCAAACATCCACCAATCCATCTCAACATGACGTCCGTCTCCTGGTCTCCGATGGAACCTTCAGATGAAAGGCACGCACATTCGGCAATCACAGCACTGATAACGACGAAGGCGACCACCGCGACGACGACGACGATGACTACTACTGAGTTGCTACTGGTTTCTACTAGCATCGAGGATTGAGGCAGCAAGTCCGCCAGTGCCCCTGCT